TGAATGACCATCTAATTTGGCTTTTTATTATCCTGTCTTAACATCCCATAAACGGATAGACTTATCATCACTACCAGATGCTAATGTAGTACCATCAGGAGAGTAACAAATTGAAAAAACTACACTTGAATGACCATCTAATTTATTTAACTCATGTATTTTAATATTGTTCCATTTACAATTGAACAATTAAGCTTAATTCAAGTTCATTCCACTTATATCCACATTATCAAATTCTGATCCATTGAAATTGCATCTTACAAAATTTCCACCAACCAAAGAAGTATCTCTAATCCTAATATTCTCAAAGCTTTATTCTCTCAAATCCACTTTCATTTCTACTAATAAATTGAGTGAGTTCGATCCGCTTTAGATAAATCTCTCGTCAATGGCTGTAAGAAGTACTAGGAATTTCAAAAATTCAATTATGTACTAATCATAAGATATCTATTTTATTAAGTCCTTTCTAATTTAATCATAGTTGTCAGTTGAATAATTCTTCTTATTAAAGTCTATTTCGCTAACATTTTAAAACATAGAAGTGATAAATTACAACCGACTTTAATTTTTAAAGAACTCTAAACAATTAGTAATCTTCTTATTTTTCAGCATCTAAAGTAGCTCATTAAGGTAGGATCCATCCAAATACTTTGTCTAAGTCAATACCTAATACATATCTTCCTTTCTGCTATAAACTTACTTTACTTCTTTTAATTATGGAAATAATTTGTTAATCTCCTTCATTTCTTTATTCAATTTTTCACAAAACTCCTTCGTTTCCTTTTCCAAATATTGCTTTGTCATTTCCAACCTTGTTAACTAAGAATTTTTCTAAATATTCCAATCATCTAATTGTTTTCCTATAATAATTTAGACTAACTTTTCTAATTCAGTATTGGCCAATTCTACAGGATCCACATTGTTGTTCATATAATTTAAATAAGATTTATCTTCCATCTCAATCAAATCGTATATCTATTTAATTGATTCTGTCATTTCATCCCAAATATCTTTTAACATTTTAAGAGTTGAAGCCAGCATTTATTTAAAATGCATTCTCTATGTTGTTAATTCTAATGAATCAATAAGATTAGTATCGTTTAATTTCTTCGCAACAATTCCTTTAAACTTATTAATCGGAACTGTGTGATTTTTGTCAACTTCATGTTCAAATTAGCATTCAGCACACAATTTCCTTGAGCATTAGCACTTATGTGAAGCAACACATAAGCCTAGACGAAGGTTAACTTCCTCTCTTTTCTAATCTTATGGAGTATCCCACATGATTCATGATTGTTGTTGAAGGAAGTAGGTTAAATTTGGTTTAAACGCTGAACTATGGCCATATAGAACAACATTGGGTGAAGGAGTAAGTCTAGGTTATTGTCCTGAGCGAGCTCCAACTGTATATCTCGTAGTGATCAAATGTGGAGCCAGAAGGAAGTACCTCTCTATATCCAAGTAAGATGTGTCTCTCTAATGAAGAAATTAATATATTATTATTATATTATCTAGATAATATGCTATTTATATTTAAAATGTAGTGTCTATAGAAATATAAAATATCTCTTTTGGGTTAGAGAATTTGTTCTTAGGTCTCATTATTGATTTTCTACTCACACTTTTTACAAAAAATAGAGAAGCAGAATTGCATATTAACATTGACAACCATTGAAATAAAATTTGGTATGTTTTTATAGATTTTAATAATTATCAATATTGTTTCTATTTTAGTTCATTCTCTAAAATTAAACTACCTTTTGATTTAAATAATGATCGCAAATCATACCCTTTATAATCAACAAATTCTCCTTTCAATATTAAAGCTCCTAAAATTTCCAAAATGGGATTTTGACAAATTCTTAGTATTGTACCATCTATTGTATATAAAATAAAATAAACTTTTAAAAATGGTTTGATTTTAAAGTTGCTATTTAAACGAATAATAAGATTGAGGTAGAATCTCTTGTGCTTTCTTAACATTCCATAAACGGATAGAGTTATCTAGACTACCAGATGCTAATGTAGTACCATCAGGAGAAAAATTGACTGAATAAACATAATGTTAATGGCCATATAATTCAGCTTTTTATTATCCTGTCCTAACATCCCATAAAATGATAGAGTGATCATAACTACAAGATGCTAATGTATTACCATTAGGAGAGAAGTTGACTTAACATACAGGTAAGTAGTGATCAGTTAATTCGGCTTTGCATTATCCTGTCTTAACATCCCATAAACGGATTGAGTTATCATAACTACCAGATGCTAATGTAGTACCATCAGGAGAAAAATTGACTGATTATACTACTGATTAATGACCATCTAATTTGGCTTTTTATTATCCTGTCTTAACATCCCATAAACGGATAGAGTTATCCCAACTACCAGATGCTAATGTAGTACCATCAGGAGAGTAACAAATTGATTTAACAGCTTTTGAATGACCATCTAATTTGGCTTTTTATTATCCTGTCTTAACATCCCATAAAAGGATATAGTGAACTCTACCACATGATGCTAATGTAGTTCCATCAGGGGAGTAATTGACTGATTATACTACTGATTAATGACCATCTAATTTGGCTTTTTATTATCCTGTCTTAACATCCCATAAACGAATAGAGTAATCCTGACTACCAGATGCTAATGTAGTTCCATCAGGAGAGAAATTGACTGAATAGACTTCACCTAAATGACCATCTAATTTGGCTTTTTATTCTCCTGTCTTAACATCCCACAAACGGATGGAGTTATCTGAACTACCAGATGCTAATGTAGTACCATTATGAGAGTAACAAATTGAATTAACACTAAATTCATGGCCATCAAAATTGGCTTTTTATTATCCTGTCTTAACATCCCATAAACAGATAGAGCAATCAAGACTACAAGATGCCAATTCAGTACCATCAGGAGAATAACAAATTGAATTAACAACAATTCCATCTAATTTGGCTTTTTATTATCCTGTCTTAACATCCCATAAACGGATAGAGTTATCCCAACTACCAGATGCTAATGTAGTACCATCAGGAGAGTAACAAATTGAACTAACCATTCCAACATGACCATCTAATTTGGCTTTGCATTATCCTGTCTTAACATCCCATAAACGGATTGAGTTCTCATAACTACCAGATGCTAATGTACTACCATCAGGAGAGAAATTGACTGATAGAATTCCTTTTGAATGACCTTTTAATTTGGCTTTTTAATATCCTGTCTTAACATCCCATAAACGGATAGAGTTATCTCGACTACCAGATGCTAATGTAGTACCATCAGGAGAGTAACAAATTGAAATAACTTCCCAAGAATGACCATCTAATTTGGCTTTTTATTATCCTGTCTTAACATCCCATAAACGGATAGAGTTATCTCGACTACCAGATGCTAATGTAATACCATCAGGAGAGTAACAAATTGAATTAACTTCATTTGAATGACCATCTAATATTGCTTTTTATTTTCCTGTTTTAAGATTCCATAAATATACAACATTTCCACTGCAGAAAGCAAATGCACTAGTATTATTTGAGAAGCATACTGATTTTACTTTTTCCTTTTCCTTGATTCTAGACTTTATTTTTCCTGTTTTAACATCCCACAATATAACTGAATTATCATCACTACAAGAAGCTAATGAATTACCATCTGGAGAAAAGCATACCTAATTGACACTTTCACCATGACCATAGAATACATTTAACTCATGAATTTTGATATTTTTCCATTTACAATTGAATAATTAAGCTTAATTCAGGTTCATACCACTTATATCCACATTATCAAATTCTGATCCATTGAAATTGCATCTTACAAAATTTCCACCAAACAAAGAAGTATCCTTAATCCTTATATTCTCAAAACTTTATTCGCTCAAATCAACTTTCATTAAAACTAATAAATGAAGAGAATTTGATCCACTCTAAATATATCTGTCATCTAATGCAGTAAGATGAACTAAAAATTTGAGAAACTGTATAATCTTCTTATTCCATAATATTTTTATGATCAATTCTTTCTTTATTTCTTCATATTCATCTATCAAGTAATTCTGCAGATTAAATTCATGACCTTTGATTATTTAGAGAACATTTGAAATTTTCTTTAGGCTGCTTTTAATAACATCTATTTTCCAATACTTATCATAAAGCTGTAAATTATTAAATTCAAAAATGTATTATTCGTAACAAACTTGATACTACCAATTTTAAACAAATTTAAGAGAATCTGAATCTCCTTCCTTTTAGAGCATTTCAATTATAACATTGTAGATTTTAGCATCTATATCTTCAATAAATTTTAACACTTCAAACAAGTCAACTTTTCTGTTTTGAGTCATTTTTGTTAAATATAATATAAGAATTTCTATTACTTTAATTTGGGTCTTATACTTATACTAAAAACTAGAGTTTGTCTTACCAAGACCTTAGTGACTCGAAGGTAACGAATCCCTGCTTCCCTAGAGGAAGACCTTCACGCGAAGGCCACTGGATTAGAACTATCTCTAAAGAGACCCTCGTGGAAGCCTAATTGCTTTACTTGACTCGTTCTTCCTGTTGCTAGGGGGAAGCTCGACTATTTTGCTTGATTAGTTCTGCCTGTTGTTAAGCGCCTGCCAAATCTTTTAGCCTAAAACACCCGTCTATTCGT